TGTCCAGTTGCCCACAGATGGTTCTCGGGTCCCCACTCTGCACTCCCCCTCATTCACAATGATAAGATTTTTTGTTCTGATGCCATCATCATTTTCAAAACATTTTCTTTCTACTTGAGCCCTTGGTATCAGGTCCTCTTTTGTCCCCTCCCTCCCCCACCCTACCACCTTTGTGAACCCTTGATAAACTGTAAATTATTATTATTTTCATATCTTATACCATCTGCTGTCTCCCTTCACCCCATTTCTGTTGTTCATCGCCCTGGGGGTGGGGGTGGGGTTATACATCAATCACTGCAATCAATTCCCCATTTCTTCCCCTTCTCCCCCCACGTTCCCCCTACCCTCATGGTATCGCTACTCCCATTACTGTTCCTGAGGGGTTTATCTATCATGTGTCACGAGCTCTCTTATCTGTACCAGTGTACACACTCCGGTCTAGCTGGATTTGTAAGGTAGAACTAGGGTCATGATAATGGGAGGAGGAAGTATTGAGGAATGTTGTGTGTTTCTTCAGTGCTATGCTGCACCCTGGCTGACCCATTCCTTCTTTGTGACCCTTCTGTGGGGGGATGTCCAATTGCCTACAGATGGGCTTTGGGTCTCCACTCTGACCTCCATCATTTGCATCAATATAATTGATTGTTTGGGGTCTTCTGATGCCTGATTGCTGAAGTCAAAGTGGGTGCATAAGGGGAGAGGAAGAGAGGAAGTGAGAACTGATCCCAATGATCAACACATAACCACACACACACACACATACAGGGGGACCAACAACAGAAATTGGGGGAGAAGGGAAACAGCGGTCAGTATTAAGATATGGAAGTAATAATTTATCAAGAGGTCATGAGGGTGGGAGTGGGAAAGGGAGGGAAGAAGGAGTTGATACTAGGGGCTCAAATAGAAAATATATATGTGGAAAATAATGATGGCAACATATGTACAAACATGATTGACATAATTGATGTATGAATTGTGATAAGAGCTGTAAGAGCCCCAATACATGATCTTAAAAAAAATGGGTACATAAGCAAATGTGGTCAAAAGAAAAAAGTTGATGGTGCCTGGCTATTTAAAGCTGATGTCTTAAAGGCTTCAAGTTACAACAAGCGGCCATCTAGCAGGAAAGCAACAACGCCTACATAGAAGAAGCACATCAGCCTGTGAGATCACAAGGTGTTGACGGAATCAGATATCAGGCATCAGAATGATTGGCTTTTTTAATAACCAAGTATGATGGGCAGAAAACAGAATGACCAGGTATACATTCAACTTTAACCCACTCCCTCCAATCTCAAGGAGTCTATTTGCCTTCCTGGCCTCAGGGTTTGTTTGGTCTGAGAACTAGATCAGCCACAGAAGTTCAGTTGATCTGTGTTAGACGGAGAACTTGAGAAACTGAGAAATGGGTATGGTGGTGGGACAGAGGAAAGGGGGGTTCTATGTTTGGGGTGAATGGCTTTTGGTGACTTGGACAGGCTGCTGTAAAGCTATCAATTAACCCTGAAGTGTGCTGGAAAGGCAACAGGGTTAGTGGCAAAGACAGTCCTACCAGCATCCAGGCGGGAAAGGCTGGCAAAGAAACAGAAATCAGGCATACCTTGCTGGTCTCAGTACTGAATACCAGAAGGCCCAAAGGGGCACCTACAGAGCTTTGAAGGGAGTTTATATCCAGCCAACCTGTCTTATACATATGGCTTCAACAAAAATGGATTCTCCAATAGACTCGAGTTCGGGAAGTCTATCTTCCTTTTGAGGAGGGAGAGAATGGGCTTATTTGATGATGTCCCCTCATAGGCCAGCATGAGCTCGATAATGGGGAGATATTGATGAAAAGACCCTTAGGTGGTGCAAAAGGGTAACACACTCAGCTACTCCCCCAACCATGGAGGTTCCTAGCAAGAAAGTCCTGGTGAGCTACTTCCAAATCATCAGCCGTTGAGCACCCTATGGGATTCTGGGAAGATGGCCATTGGAAGGAAAAAGGTAAAATGACCTGTATTTGCAGAGACTCTAATCCTCTATAAGGAGCCCCGGTGTGGTGTAAGGGATTATGCATTGAACTACAAGCCTCAAGGTCCACAGTTTGAAATCACTAGCCACTCCGTGTGAGAAAGAGGAGGCTTTCCACGCCTGTAAAGTGTTCGTCTTCAGAAACCCACAGGAACCATTCTAGTCTGACCTACAGGGTTGCTATGAATCAGAATGGATTCGATGGAAGTGAGTGGATTTTAATCCTGCGTATACAAAAGCCGGAAGAATCTAAAAAGAAAACTTCTAAAACTAATGGAGAGCTTTAAGGTCTCCTTAAAGATACAAGGTCAGTGAACAAAAATCACTTTGCTTTCTAAGTTACACATTGGCTGATAAAATAATACAATGTTACCCGTGAGTACTGCACGCCCTCAAACACTCATCTACAGAACAGCAAGTGGCCAACAATTCCGGTGAAGCAAATGGGAAAGTACAAACCAGGTTGCTGGAAGCAAAACATTTGTTTCTGCAGGCATCTCAGCAGAGAAGTAGTGAAAATGGTAGCACGCTGTGAGAAATGTGCCCCATGTCTCTGACCTTCTGGTGTCCCTTTGCTCTTGCAGGACTTGGGCATGGAGTCAACCTCCCTGGATGATGTGCTGTATCGCTATGCCAGCTTCCGGAACCTGGTGGACCCCATCACACATGACCTCATCATCAGCCTGGCACGCTACATCCACTGCCCCAAGCCGGTAGGGTGGCCACTGGTCTGGGCCAGCCAGATCCCCATGGGTGTGAGGTGGGTGTCTCAGCACCTCAAGGATGGCTGATAGGTGCTGCCAGCCAAGGAGACAAGCCTCCTCCCGGTGCTGAGACTCAGCCTCCAGTGAAGTTACTGCACATTAGTAGTAGCACAATAGACATGATTTATTTGGCCCAAAATAACTTACTCTCAAGGCAATTCTAACTCATAGAGAACCTACATGACAGAGTAGAGCTGCCCCATCGGGGCAGACTGCCACAGCTTTTTCCACAAAGAGGCTGGTAGGTTAAACCGTACAGGTAGCTGCTAAGTACTTTATGCAGTGCATCACCAGGCCCTTTCCTTCTTGTTGCTGTTCAGGGTCAGGAAGGTGGTTCCTGTGCACAGCAGAACAAAACACCATCCCTCAATTGTTCATATGCTCAGGCCCATTGTTGCAGCCACTCCGTCGGTCTGTTTCATCAAAGGCCCCCCTCTTTGTTGCTACCCCTCCACTTCACCAAGCTTGATGTCCTTCTCCAGGCACTGGTGTCTCCTGGCAATGTCTCACCATCCTTACCTCTAAGGAGCACTCTGACTGTACTTCTGCTGAGACAGACTTGGTTCTCGTTTTGGCAGCCCGTGGTACCTTTCAATATTCTTTGCCAGTGCCATGACTCAAACACATCCATTCTTCTTTAGTCTTCCTTATTTAACATCCAACTTTCTTTTTTTTAAAAACATTTTATTAGGGGCTCATACAACGGTTATCGCAATCCATACACACATCAATTGTGTAAAGCGCATTTGTACATCATTCTCAAAACATTTTCTCTCCACTTGAACCCCCCTGCATTAGGTCCTCATTTTTCCCCTCCCTCCCCGCTCCCCCCTCCCTCATGAGCCCTTGATAGTTTATAAATTGATATTTTGTCATATCTTGCCTTGTCCGACGTCTCCCTTCACCCACTTTTCGGTTGTCTGTCCCCCAGGGAGGAGGTCACATATAGTTCCTTGTAATCTGTTCCCTCTTTCCTACCCACTCTCCCTCTACCCTCCCTGTTTTGCCACTCACACCACTGGTCCTGTAGGGCTCATCCGCCCTGGATTCCCTGTATTTCCAGTTCCTATCTGTACCAGTGTACATCCTCTGGTTGAGCCAGACTTGCAAGGTCGAATTCGAGTCATGGTAGTGGGAGCGGGGAGGAAACATTTAGGAACTAGAGGAAAGTTGTATTTCTCATCATTGTTACATCGCACCCTGACTGGCTCATCTCCTCCCCGAGACCCCTCTGCAAGGGGATCTCCAGTGGCCTACTAATGGGCTTTGGATCTCCACTCCACACTCCCCCCATCATTCACTATGGTAAGATATTTTGCTCTGACAACATCCAACTTTCACATGCATGTGAGGCGATTGACAATACCATGGCTTCTGTCGGGCACACCTTAGTGCTCAAAGTAGCATCCTTGCTTTTCAATACTCTAAAAGGTCTTGTGCAACAGATTTAGCCAGTACAACACATCTTTTGGTCTCTTGAGTGCTGCTTGTATGACCATGGTTTGTGGATCCAAGGAGGATCCACAAAAATCCTTGACAGTTTCAAACTTTTCTCCACTTATCATGATGATACCTATTGGACCACTTGTGAGGATTTTCGTCTTCTTGACATTGAGTTCTAAACCATACTGAAGGCTACCATCCTTGACCTTCATCAGCAAGTGCTTCAAGTCCTCCTCATTTTCAACAAGCAAGGTTGTGTCACCTGCATATCACAGGTGGTTAAGTCTTCCTCCAGTGCTGATGCTGCATTCTTCTTTATGTAATTCAGCTTTTCTGATGATTTGCTCAGCATATAGATGGAGTAAGTATGGTAAGGGGGTATACTAAAACCTTGACCCTCACCTTTTCTAATTTTGAACCACGCAGTATTCCTGTGTTCTGTTTGCACAGCTGTCTCTTAATCCATCGACAAGTTCCTCATGAGCACAATGAAGTGTTCTGGAATTCCCATTGTTCTCAAGATAATCCATAGTTTATTATTGTCCACAGAGTTGAATACCTATGCATTGTCAATAAAACACCAGTAACATCTTTCTGGTATTCTCTTCTTTCAGCCAAGATCCATCTGACACCAGCCAGGCTATCCCTTACTCCGAGACCTCTTCTGAATCCTGCCTGCAGCAGCTCCCTGTCAGTATATTCTGCTGCAACCGTTGTTGGATGGTTGTCTGCAGAATTTTACTTGCATGCGATATCAATGATATTCTCTACTTTGAGCATTCCGGTGGGCACCTTACTTTGGAGTGGGTATAAGTGTGGATCTCTTAGTTGGCCAAGTAGCTTTCTTCCAAATTTCTTGGCATAGATGAGTGAGTGTTCCACTGTTTCGACAGCTTTCTGAAACATTTCAATGGGGACTCCATTCCTGGAGCTTTATTTTTGGCAAATGCTTTCAGAGAAGCTTGACCTTCATCCTTCTTGGTTCTTGGTCTTATGCTACCTCCTGGGACAGTGACTCTGTATTCTCTCTTCTTTTGATGCTTCCTGCATCATTTAATATTTTGTGCATAGAATCTGTCAGTCGTTCAACTCGAGGCTTGAATTTCTTCTTGTGTTCTTTCAGTTTTAAGATATGCTGAGTGGATTCGTCCTTGTGGGTTTTCTAGCTTCTAGATCTTTGCACAGTTCCTTATAATATTTTACTTTGTCTTCTGGAGCTGCCCTTTGGAGGGTTCAAACCGCCAACCTTTCAGTTTGTGTTAAATCTGTACCCAGTGCATGACCAGGGACCCTTTCATGGGACATGTTAAGTCTGAGTTCACTTCAACATTTAAAACTTGGGCTGTTTTTTTCATCATCCCATATTGCACTTGAGGAATTGAAAACTCCAGCAACCTGAAGCGCTGGCGCTGTGTGACCACCCACATTGTGTAAGGCCACGCCCACCAGCTAGAGCTGGATGGATTGGGAGCTGCAGGAAGACCTACAGACTGGGAGGTGGGAGTGGGCAGGTGAGGGGCAGCCCCATCTCTCTACCCACCAGGCCGCAAACTGTGGTCCAGGGCTGAGTGCACCTTTTTATGATTTGCACAAAAGGACCATGTGAGACCTCCATGAGGCTCTCCAGTTTGCTGCAGTCCCCACCACTCCCTGTCGTCTGCATCTCTCGTGTTCATTTCCTGCCTGACACTAGAAGGTCTGGGTTGGGGGCGTCAAACTAGGGTGCAATCAGGCATCCAGGATGCTTACAGACACGGGCTAGGCGCCGGGAGATGAGCGTGTGCTCCAGTTACAGCGTAACCCGCTCTGCCCTCTTCCTGCTGGCTTTGGGGGACTTTCCTGATACTCAGCAGACTTAGGCAGGGCTGAGCAGCTGCACCCTGGCCAGGGAGGGGAGGGCAGAGTTCCATCTGGTGAGGACTAGAAGCCAAGCAGAAGGGGAGAAGTAGAGGAGGGGAGCTCCCCTTTTAGATGACCCTCAGACCACCCCATCACTCAGCTTGGGCCCAGACTTGAACTTGTCTCCCAGGGAGCTAGCGCCTTAGAAAACCTCCCTGTGTCGCCTTGTCCTGGGGCCTCTCTGGCTCCTGGCACTGCCTGGGGTCATGATTGAGGTGGGTGCCAGCCGTGGAGGGCTGGGGACCGAGTAGGCAGACTGGTGCTGGTGGGATCCAGCAGAGAGCAGGGATGTTGGACTCAGATGTGGGAGGATCAGAGGGGTAGCTGTGAAAGTTAGTGGACTACAAACCCCAGCACCTGAGAGAGGAGCTAGTGCCAGGATCCACAGGCAGCCAGAGGGGCTTAGCATCCCCATGACTGTTCATCCTCACTGTCCCTGGCCCAGCCTGCAGCACAACCAGGAACCCCCAGGTGGGCCTGGGGGCAGAACCTGAAGGGGCCACTCTGCCTTTTTCGGCATGGGCCTAATTGCCTTCAGGTGAGCAGAGTGATGGGCCAGAGAGGGGCTGACAGCTCACATCAGGTCCAGGAGTTGGGACCACCTGAGAGCTAGGGAAAGGTGGGCCGTGGGGTCCTGTCACTGCAAACCTTCCCTTTAGTCCAGGCGGGGACTAGAGGGACCTTGCAGGGAATGTTGGGACAGCATTGGACTAATCACAAGGTCAGTGGTTTAAACCTACCAGCTGCTCCAAAGGA